TATCTCTTCTGTGGTTGTTGCTTGCTGGGCTCTGGCCCCGTTGCTTGTCTGGTTTGCTGTGCAAATCTGGCTGGGGGATTTGCGGGTCGTCATGGTTGTGGTTTGGTTGTTTCTGTTTGATTTATTTATGATTTGCCTCGCTACATTGTTGAACTGGCCAGCCGTTCACTTTCCCATTCTGCTGGTGTCTCTCGTTTTGTAGCTTGTTGGTTTTTGGTTGTTCTTTTGTGTTTGGTTTGGTTTTTGTTTGCGTTTTCCTTGCTTCATTGGGATTGGGACGGCTCTTTGGACTACTTGGGAGGCCCTTTTGCGCGAAGCCGGTTTTGAGAAGGTTTTCCGGACCCAGAATTGGGTCCGTCGGAGCAAGCTGTTTTGTAGATGATTTTGTTTCTTGTTGGGGCAAGCGGGGGGCATATCGGTGGCTGCTTGAACCCAGTTGGAGGTAGCTTTTGATTATTTTCGTTTCGTCTGGTGGCTTGATCGTTTGCTGCTAAAAGAAGGCGCATCAGCCTTTTGCAGCCTTAGGTGATTGCTTGAAGTGTTTCTTGCTGTTGCGGAGTTTGTGGGTTTTTGCGCAGGTGGTCGGCTTCCATTTGAATGATTGGATTGAATACTTTACTGCCCCTTGTTGGCCCCCCTTGCCCCTCTAGACTCCTACCGAAGTTTTCAGCCCAGAAAGAGCATGAATTTTGATCTTTTCAGTCAATCCCGTTATTAATTAATAGTATTAATTTAAAACGGGATGGAGTAAGAATCTGCTTAGGGAAAGATGTGGGAAGGTGAAATATTGAAGGCTTTCTTATTCCGCCATCGTTTCGATATCGTGTCAATTACATTGGGTAATTGAATTAAAACGTTTCACGGAGTAGCGGAGTAGCGCGGAGTAGCGACGGATTGGTGAATGTTGCCTGGGTCTGGGTGGTGCTGCATTGCAATCGCCGCATTGGAGCCAGGGAACGGAGACAGCTGATACCACATGTGCGCTTTCAGGTTCCATTTCTGGGGCCGGAAAGTCCTTTGAAATCAGGCTTCGCATGTGCGGGCCTCCTCTGTTCCAACTCTATATGCTTGTTGCTTAAGTAAACGCAGTTGTCATTTTTTGTTTGTTGCACGGGTCGGCCTTTGCTGTTGATTTTGCGATTTTGCGGTCTAAAATGGGACCGTGAAATTGCTTTTCTTTTGTTCTTTTACTAAGCTGTGCATGCAGTCCCAAAAATGGGACCGCCAGGCGGTCCCATTTTTGGGACCGTGTTTAGGTTCATTTTTTGAAATTTTTTGTATCAAGGTTGCAGAAGTGCAATCTTTTGGTTTCAATGAAGCTTTGTGGCTTATGGCGACCGGAAGGGCAACTAGGGAGGCCCTTTTGCGCGAAGCCGGTTTTGAGAAGGTTTTCCGGACCCAGAATTGGGTCCGTCGGAGCAAGCTGTTTTGTAGATGATTTTGTTTCTTGTTGGGGCAAGCGGGGGGCATATCGGTTGCTGCTTGAACCCAGTTGGAGGTAGCTTTTGATTATTTTCGTTTCGTCTGGTGGCTTGATCGTTTGCTGCTAAAAGAAGGCGCATCAGCCTTTTGCAGCCTTAGGTGATTGCTTGAAGTGTTTCTTGCTGTTGCGGAGTTTGTGGGTTTTCGCGCAGGTGGTCGGCTTCCATTTGAATGATTGGATTGAATACTTTACTTCCACCTACCAAACTTTTTTTTTGTCCGAGCCCGTTGCCTTTCGGCGGGTCTACGGTCTTGAGTCCTACTCGCGGACCAGCGGGGAATCGAACCACCACCGTCAATCTGTCAGCGACACAAGAGTGCCGCGATACCAAATGCACCACGAGGACGACTGACTGATTCCACCTACCAAACATTTCAACTTGGCAGATTTGTGCTCAGGCATCCAATTCTTGTCCCTACCAGTGTGAAAACCGACCCAAATAGTGAGTGTTGTAGTACCGTCAATGTCAACCTTACTTCCATTGGCAGCACGAAATTGCTCATGTTTCATATCAGCTACCCATGCACCGCATGCATTCAGAGAAGAAGTTGCCATGAAAGTTGCAGATGCACCTGAATCAAGTAACCACGCTTCATAGGGCGCGCCCGTGAGTCTATACGGTGCTATGTGTTGGGTGGGAGGGTGGGACTTTTTTGGAATGGCTGTTGCCGCTTGTTGGCATGTCATTCGGGTTCGATACACTTGCGTGAGCGGTTCAAACAATTCAACAGGTTTTTCTGGTGCTGCTGTTTTCTTCATTTGGTTCAACGTTTTCTCCTGGAGTTTATTCAGGGTTGGAACTCTTGTGAATTGCTGGTTTTTACTGGAACGTATTTCTTTAGATCTGCAAGGCTTGGCCGATGTTTCGACTGGTTTTATACGTTCTTGCTGACTGAGATTTTGGTGGTACAGTTTTCACTGGTCACTATGGACAGTTTACTTGAAGGATCAGTCCTCTGAAAGCTTCTTCTCGAGAAGCGCTGGCTCTGAGAAATTTTAGATAGTGAGGGGCGCGTTGCATCCAACAAAGTTGGACGGTCGGGGCGCAGCATGCGATGGAGCTGGGTTGGCCACAGTTGGCTCCTGACAAGTTGATTTGTTTTCAGAGGTTCTTTCGGTCTCCATTGCAATTAGATGCTGCGTTTGACAATGACATTGAATCTCTTGAGCTCATTCAGTCAATTTTTCTTGACATGGTTTCTGAAGATGTCATGGATATTGTTGCTTTGCTGATGGTTTGGAAGGAGTCAAGTGACAGGACGTTTAAGAGGGCGCGGCGTCAGGTCGCCGATCAGGCCATGTTCTTGCCCCAGGGTGCATGTTCAGAGTCAGTGCAAGATGTTTACAGACGGCTTTCACAGACAAACGTTTTGACGTTGATTGAAACGCACACCAAGAAGCGCCAGAGGGTGCTACGGTTGGAAGCTGAGTCACGGGCGAAGCGTGCAGACGCTGATCGCAAAAAGTACAGTCTTTTGTTGGCACAGGTTAACATTGATGCAGATCTTCCTGTCGTTGCTCTGATCAGAACTTTAGATGACCAGCAACAGGGCTGGATACACTTGTTCGGAACTCGGAGGTGCAACACGCTGAAAAAAACAGGTTTAAGGCCTGGAGGCCGTTTGCAATCTGGTTGGAGCTGCAGCAGCTGCATTTTGGTAGGAAGTTTCCCATTCAACTGCGAGACATCATCGATTACTTGCAGCATTGAGTTGATGAAGGTTGTGGCAAAACCATTCCTGAATGTTTTCACATAGCACTCTGTCTGATTGAGCAGTTGGGACGCGTACCAGAAGGTGAACGTCTGTCAAGTGAGGAACTCTGGAGATCACATGTGAAGGCGTGGACAGCTGAGATAGCAGCAGATGCGCCTCCCACCAAGTCAGCGGAGATGTGCACGATTGCAATGTTGTTGGCATTGGAACTGGTTATTGGAGATGAGTCACAACAGATGTTTTCCAGGGCTTCGGCATGGGTTACATTGGTTATGATATGGGGCTCCATGAGATGCGATGATGTTCAGTGTGCTTTGCCTCACAGGACAACTCTCTCGAACTACGGGCTGCACATGGTGCTGGGGAAGTCAAAGACTTCTGGTCCCGACAAGGTGCAGAAGGAGGTATCAGTGCATGTGTTCAGAACATTGTCATTGACAGGTATTGATTGGTTGGGGATTGGCTATCGCTTGTGGGATGCTGACCCCTTTAATTTTCGCAGGGATTACTTTGTCATGGAACCTTCATCAGATTGGGGTTCTGCCAAGAGACGGTTTGTCACACCTTCAGGGTTGGCCTCTTTGATTGGCAAGCTTTTGAGCGATTTGCCGGTACCACGAAAAGTGGCTGGTGAATGGGTCCCCACTGCCAGACGGTCCCACTTCAGGACATTGCCCCAGGAATTTTCTTACTTCAGTGGCGGCTGCAATTGGATTTCACAGAGACCAACGGGCGTACTTGGGACGCTGGGCTATGGGTATGGTTGCCAGTGAAGAGTACGTTCGAACTTCAAGGCAAGTTGTAGTTACAATACAGCGTGCTGTCAATCGTTCAATTGTCACTGGGTTTGATCATGAGTATTTTGAGGATGAGGCCATTGGGCGCCTTTGCAAAGCTGCAGAGAATGCTGGGGCGAATCCCGACCGGATCAGGAAGAGACATGCCGTGACTTCCTCGCTGACTGGCAAGTCGTGTCTTGGGGGTACATACACCACCCTGGAAGTGACCCCGGAAGATTGGTTTGAGGTGGACGGGAACGAAGTGGATGAAGCAACTTTGGCAACCAGCATCATTGATCAGAAGTCGAAGCACGAGGCTGCCGAGAAGCAGCCGTCCAAGTTCTTTGTCACCATCTCACGGCGCACATCGTTCCGACGCCTCCACCTCACGGGTTGTTTTGTCAAGCCCTCAAACTGCACTGAAGTTCGGATGTTGGACAATGTTGACAATGATGATTTTGATTCAATTTGCAGGGCATGTAAGCGCAAGATGCTTCTTGAAAACGGTAAAGAGGAGAACCCTGAGTCTAGCTCAACGGCGTCTTCCTCTTCTACTGCCAGCGTGGAGGATTTGATTCCTTAGGTTGCTTGTTTCATTTGCTCGTTTCACTCAGGTTGGACTTTCAGGCAACTTCTCGAATTTGAGACGTTAGGGCAGCCTAAAAATTAGAGTGGTTTGGCTGTGGCATCCACAGTTCATCATGGGAGTTCAGTGCTCATTCAATTTGTCTGGTGTTTGAGTTGCCAGGCCGTTGTGATTTATTTGATGTGAAATTTTTCGGCTTCAGACCTCAGGGTTGTGATTCAGATCACAGGCAGTTGTGTTTAACAGTTCTTTGTTGGCTCAGACCTTAGGGTGCCAAATTTCGTTCACTTCTCAGATCGGTGTCGGTGTTGTTTCTTTCTGTCTTGGAGAGTTTCATTGTGGCCAAGACCTAAGGGTGCCATTCTTTTAGGGTTGCACTGCATTGAAAGTTTCTTCACTTCGAATTAGGGTTGGCTCACCGTCTTCCGTTTGAAGCGATGGCAGCAGACCCTGATGAAGCTGATAGGGATTTCATTGCACAGAACATGGACGCTGATTTACAGTTCATACTGAGTGAGACAGGCGTTTCTCTAAGGAGACAAGCTGCAATAGCCAGGCGTTATGGTACGCTGAGGAAATTCAATGCCATTGGTGACGACCGGGCTCAGATTCGTACAGCATGTTTGCAAGACTTTGCTGTTGGCCAGGACACACCTGAAAACAGGGCTGAGGTAGCAGCCATTGTGTCGGCTTGGGAAACGGCAAAGGAGTTTGTTGCAAAGGAGGTTGAATTACGTGCTGAAGCAAAGGTCTTGGGTCAGCCAAAGATTCTGCAGTCTCATGAAAGACAATCCATGATTCGTGCTGTTGAAAGGATTCATGGACATCTTGGAGAGGCTGAGACTCCAAGCGCGGATTGCTTAGCTTTGAAAGCGGAGGAGGTGGAAATGAACGAGCCTACGGCCTCACCCTTGGATGAAATTAGCAAAAGGGACACAGCGAATTCACAGATTCAGTCTTCAGTGGATTCTTCAGGTCATTTGAGGGTGACTAGAACTAAGTGCAAAGCCAAGATGCCGACCAATACAGAAGATTACAGGAAGATCATGCGTGTTGAGATGTTCTCTTGGCTGTGCATGTTGGCCAGGTACAGAGCGAAGAACTGGCTTCATGGGTTGGAGGCATCGGACTTCAACAAGTTTGTTGATTTTATTTTGGGAGAAAGAGTTTTGGGGATTCAGATTCCGACGTCGGATGGTTCCCAACAGAAAGTCAAACCTGACTGGGCGATTGTCCTCTCTTTCGAACATAAACTGAGAAAAGAGGCAATGCGTTTAGTGATGCACGAGGGATTTACCTTGGCGAATGCATTGCGGGCTGTTACAAGGGATGCAGACCTCAAGGAGGCATTTTTCACTACGCCAGTGGCGCTACGTGCAGCAGCCTCGGAACAGCCTCAAAACAAGTGGGCGAGATTTAACAACAAGGGTTCTGGTTCTTCTTTTGGGTCTTTTGGCAAGACTGGAAGTCAGAATCCCAAAGGGAAAGGCAAGACGGGCAAATCAAAGGGCAAAGATTCGCGCTTGGCAGGTTTACAATTGGCATGGCGCACACCTGATGGCCGTGACCTCTGCTTTGCGTACAACTCTGGGTCATGTGACAACAGCTGCAACAGGGTTCATCAATGCAGGGTGAAAGGTTGTTATGGAGACCACCCCGCAATCCAACACAGGGAAAAGGCAAAGGGTAGCAATTGACAGGTTGGGTGTGAGACTGAAAAACCTGGCGTTGGTTCACACCCAGATGCGGCACCACCTCCCGAAGTGAAGGTGATGTATTTGTTTGCTGGGAAAAGGCGACAATCTGACGTGGCTTCCTTTTTACAGCAGGCCCATGATGAGGGTCGCATCAAGTTGACTCTGAAGGAGTTCGATTTGCTTTCACCAGAACATGATCTAACTGACTTGTCCATTTGGGAAGACATATGGGCTACTCTTGCAGAGGGTGGTTGGACGTTGCTAGTTTCCCCTCCGTGCAATACTTTTTCACGGGCACGGTTTCACTTTCAAGATTGGCCAGGGCCTAGGCCTTTGAGAAACATCAATTGGCCTCGTGGTTTTCCATGGCTTTCACAACACCATCGTGAGGTGGTAGACGAAGCAAATTTATTTGTTGACAGGTGCATCAAGGCTTGTCTGGTGTGTCATTCTGCAGGTGGTAAATTCATCATGGAGCACCCTGAGGATTTAGGGCTGGTGAAGGACGAGAGGCCGGGCTCTATTTGGCAGTGGTCAGAAATTCTGGATCTGATTCCAACATGTGGTGCAATTACGTTTGCAATTCAGCAGTGCCATTTTGGCGCACTCACTCCAAAGCCAACGAGATTTTTGGGGACGTTGGCAACTGATGACAAGAGATGTCATGCTGGCTTACCGCGTTTTGACAAAATTGGGGCTTACAAAGGGCCATTGCCTAAGTCATGCGGACATGTCCATAAACATAAACTTTTGGGCAAAACTGCAAACAAGTGGAATACCAGCCCCAGCGCTTCCTATCCGCCTGGTTTATGCAAATTTCTGGCGGGGGTGGTTCTTAATGCTACGCATTCCTTCGGACGGGGGAGCAAGAACCAACTGGACAAGGGACAAACTTTTTCTGCAGTCAATTCAACAAGTGACACAAAGGGTACAACACCTGGAGGAAGTTCCTCAGTTGGAGGAAGTTCCTCATTGGCGCCTGCAAAGAACTCAGCATGTGGAGGAAGTTCATCCACAACTACACCAGGTTTGACAGCAGAAAAATCACCGACAGCAGATGTTGCAGTGGTGGTCGATTTGACGGTGAACGAAACTGAGGAGGCTGATGAGTTTGACATGGAAAGATGTTGCAACTATGGGAGTCCCATCAAAGTTGAATGGGATGGCAAGGTTCATGATTTTATTGATGGTTTTGGTTTGTGCTCTCCAACACGTTGGCACCCACGGGCGCGAGGCCATAAACGTAGCCTCGAGATGAAGCAGCTGGCTTCGCAGACTTTTCAAATTTTGCAAGATGGGGTTTCGGAGGCACTGCAAGATGTCAGGTTGGATGCCTTCAAACTGGTTGCTGGGAAGCTCCAATCCTCACCCTTTACAGAGGAGATTTTGATGAAGATGCGGAAACGCATTGCTGCGCTGTTGCGGGACCCAGAGGATGCCATTATTCAAGATACAGGGCAACCCTTTTACTTGAGGTTGCTTGCTCAGTGGTTGGAGGTTTACCAGGACCCAGATGTTGATTGCTTGGTGAGCAATTCTGATTCGTTTGCAACTGGAGTCAATGTTGGCGTGGAAGATCCCTTGCCGCGGTCCCCACAAATCTTTCCTCCCAAAGTTAAGCACCGCAGATTGGACGACACGGAGTTTAACCCGATCGCTGACAACTACGTTTCTGGTCAATTGTCAGCCAAAGAGTTGGAGGAGAAGTTCAGGGAGGAGGAGGCGTTGGGGCGAATGGAGCCCTCCAAGATGGCTGTGCTAAGGGCCAAGTTTGGGGACAAGTTGAGAGTTGCGGCGATGGCAGCGATTGTTAAACCGGACGGGGGGGTCAGACCCCTCCACGATGCCACACATTCAGTGATGGTTAATCATGCCATAACATATAGGGATCAACTACAATGTCCAGGCCCTGCTGAAGTTGCCACAGTGGTGCGTGAAGCAGTGGAATCACGTGAAGCACCGTTCTGTGTGTCAGCTGACATTCGAGCGGCTCATCGCCTGGTGAAAATACGGGAGGCTGACTGGCCTTATATTTGCTGCCGCTCCGATTCGAATTCTGAAACTGTTTGGATCAACAAGACAGGTACATTTGGTGTGTCTAGTGCGCCGTATTGGTGGTCGAAGCTTTTCGCTGCTGTGGGGCGTTTTGTTGGCCATGTTTTGCAGTCCTCAGTCTTTTGGCACATGGTCTATGTTGACGACCTCCATGGTGCATTCACTGGTATGCGGAAGTTTGCGTGTCTTTGGATTTGGTTGCTGGCATTCGAGGTCATTGGGACACCTTTTGGGTATCACAAGTTCAAGGGAGGATTTTCTTCTGACTTTGTTGGCTTTCATTTGAGATATGATCGTTGTGAAGTTGGTATCACGACAAAGAGGGGCACTTGGCTGGTTGACTGGATCAAGGCACTTGAAGGAAAGAAGTTTGTTGTCCCGGCACGGGAGTTCAGCGAGTTTTTGGGGCGCTTGAGTTTTGTGGCTCAACTTCTGACGTGGCTCAAGCCGCTCGGTGGCTTCTCCAGGTTTGGTCGGGCGCCTACCTGACACGGTCATTTTGACTTTGAAATACATTCTTGGGGAACTGTCTTCAGAGTCCTTTCTGGTGTCGGCCAAACGTCCTGTCTATTTTGAGACAGAACAGTTCAGGACGGATGCCAAATGTACAGACGATTGCATTGTTTTGGGTGGCTGGGAGTTGAAGTCTAAGCGATGGTTTTCTTTAAGGCTGACCAGGAAGGAAGTTCCTTACCTCTTCAAACCCTGTGGTGGTGGGTCCCAATGGGCATCAACCTCTGCTGAACTTCTAGCGTCTTTAGCGGCGCTGCATGCTTTCGGATGGTTGACAGTGGCTTCAACGAGACGCACCATGTCGCTCTCTTTATGTGGTGGTACGGACAATTTGGCAAATGACAGTCTCAGTACCAAAAGGTCCACGACTAAATGGCCTCTTATGTTGATCAACATGCAGCTATCGGCAGCTTTGTCCAAGGCCCGTTTGAACCTTAGGTTGCGTTGGAGACCCAGAGAGGAAAATGTCGAAGCTGATCTGCTTACCAATGAGATTTTCGAAGCTTTTTCTCCTAGCTTGAGGGTCCCACTTTCTTTTGGAGATTTCGATGTGCGTTTGGTTGAAGAGCTCTGGGAGACCAAGTTACAGTTTGATGCGGCACGTCAAGAATCTAAGGATTCCAAGAAGGGGGATGATGGTTCCAAGAAACGGAAGTTTGAAAAATCTGAGTGGTGAAATTTCTGCCTGCAAAAGGCGTCCCTAAAGGTGGGGTACAACAGACGACATTTGCAGACTTCACCCAATTGGGACTATTTCGATGTTGGGGCGCTCCGACATTTTGGTGCAGAGTTTCAAATGGCGCTCCAATGATACCTCCGAAGTTGAGAGGTCGTACTGCGCAGGAATTCGCCACTGCTTTGACAAAAAGATTGCGAGAGTTGTTTTCAGATTCCCATCTCGGGAGTGGCAGTTGTGAAGTTCACATGTTCAGTGATGGCACAGATTTGGTCACAGCAGTTTCATGTCCTCCCCGATTTCTCGTTTGAAACATGTTGTTCGATATTTGGGGTTGTTCCTTTTCAAGCGGTCTTGCGTCTCCCTTCCCTATCTGACACATAGCATAGTGTAGGCTTCATAGGGCGCGCCCGTGAGTCTATACGGTGCTATGTGTTGGGTGGGAGGGTGGGACTTTTTTGGAATGGCTGTTGCCGCTTGTTGGCATGTCATTCGGGTTCGATACACTTGCGTGAGCGGTTCAAACAATTCAACAGGTTTTTCTGGTGCTGCTGTTTTCTTCATTTGGTTCAACGTTTTCTCCTGGAGTTTATTCAGGGTTGGAACTCTTGTGAATTGCTGGTTTTTACTGGAACGTATTTCTTTAGATCTGCAGGCTTGGCCGATGTTTCGACTGGTTTTATACGTTCTTGCTGACTGAGATTTTGGTGGTACAGTTTTCACTGGTCACTATGGACAGTTTACTTGAAGGATCAGTCCTCTGAAAGCTTCTTCTCGAGAAGCGCTGGCTCTGAGAAATTTTAGATACCCGCCCACCCAGTCCCTAGTGGATTGGTGGGTGAATCCTGCTGGGGTACAACAGACGACATTTGCAGACTTCACCCAATTGGGACTATTTCGATGTTGGGGCGCTCCGACATTTTGGTGCAGAGTTTCAAATGGCGCTCCAATGATACCTCCGAAGTTGAGAGGTCGTACTGCGCAGGAATTCACCACTGCTTTGACAAAAAGATTGCGAGAGTTGTTTTCAGATTCCCATCTCGGGAGTGGCAGTTGTGAAGTTCACATGTTCAGTGATGGCACAGATTTGGTCACAGCAGTTTCATGTCCTCCCCGATTTCTCGTTTGAAACATGTTGTTCGATATTTGGGGTTGTTCCTTTTCAAGCGGTCTTGCGTCTCCCTTCCCTATCTGACACATAGCATAGTGTAGCAAAACTCTGACTCTCCATCATTCCAAAATTCTGACAAAAGAGGATCCAAAACTGGCATGTACCTTTCGGAGTTCATGCGAAGCTGAAACAGTATCATGCACATTCAAAAACGTTGAGGTGGCAGTTCTGTTTAAAACGAACCTGCTGTTGACATCAGAAACGAACCCTTGAGAAAACTCTGCAGCATTACCTGTGGAACCTTCACCTTGTAAACCCAAACACTTCGGTTCATGCAGATTCGGAGGTGTCGTGCAACTGGATTCTTGTTGAAGAAGTCCAAATTCCGCAACTCTCCAAAAACCAGTTTTCAGCAAACGTTGTTTTGCACAAAAGCATCCTCAACCGTCATTGATACTTAGTCAAGAATCCCAACATTGGTCAGCCCGAGAATCTAAAATTCAGTCACTGGTTTTAAGTTCCTTTTTGGGAATAATTTTTGAGAAAATTCCCAGTGGTTTTTTTTGCAGTCGGAAATGGGAGCTAGGAAGCAGCATCAGTCATAGCTCTTGTGGAGACAGTGTTTGCGTGTTTCTGCAAGTGGTTTGTCATGTCCTTTAGCCGTCGTTGTGCTAATGTGACAATTGTGAATTTCGAGATTGGCAATTAGGCAGAGCGATGGAGACATCAACAAATGTTGCAGAAGATGAGACATCTTTTTGAGAGTTTGCCACCGTTTTCAGAAATTCGCATGTGCATGCTCGACAACAAACTCCAAACCTTTTTCAATCTGGTTTTATTTCAACAACTTTATGGACGAGGACTTTGTGGAGATCACTGCATACTGCATGTGAGCAACTGGAAACTGCGTTGAATTGATAAGACAAGTCACCATGCAAATACAGTTTGAGAACCCACAGTCAAGCATGAGTTTTCGCATGGCCCTTGCGCGCAAGAGTTTCAGTTTGCATACCAGTGAGACAAGCTCCAGCACTGTTGTGACGGACACCATCCGGAAGATCGACTATGAGAATGCATGGCAAGCTCTTAGGCACTCTTACAAGTTCAATCGATGCCACTGGGCTGCAGAAGCAGACTTAGTTACAGTGAGGTTACTGCCTGAAGCTGTTGGAACATTTTGTCTGCAACATACCAGTGGGGAAACGTACCATCATTTTTTGGTTGCAGCGTTGAGATGGAAACAGCAACAAAGGTCTTTGCAGAATTCCAACCCAAGAAACAGTTGTACCAGCTGGGGAGTGAGTCTGGCTAGCGATGCTAATGGGGAGTGGAATTTAGATGCAGTAGGAAACTCAGGGCATAGGTGCACGAAATGCGGGAGTAGAAAGCATGGTGCAAAGCATGTGTGATGCTGATTTGACAAAAGTAAGATGTTTCAAGTGCCAGAAATTTGGTCACATCTTGGCCTACTGCCCAGACAAAAGCGGAAAGGGCAAGGGCGATGGGAAAGGAGTGATCAAAGGGAAAGGAAAGACAAAAAGAAAGAGCAGGGAGGCAAAAGGTAAAGGTTTTGGAAAGAAAAGAAACATGAATGAACTTGGTTATGCAGAGGAAACCGATGGAATGGACGAGTGGTATCAAGATGATGGAGCATGGTGGAGTGACCAGACATGGCTGCAAGCAGCTGAAGTCTGGAATGAAACCAGGAATGACTGGAATGAGGGTTGGGCAGCTGACTGGACTGACGGACAATGGACAGAGGATTGGATCTGGACTGGCGAAAACTTCATGCAGAATGCAAGCTCCCAGAAAACGTTGAAAACCAGACATCATACTCATCATACCTCATCCGTAGATGAGACTTGTCCAAAACAAATTTATTCATAAAGGCCGTCCATTTCCAAATGAATTCGTGGATGAACTCACCACCATTCCAACGCATCCATACGATGGCTTGGCACAAACCGGTGTACTTTCATACTTTATTCGTCAGAGCACAACGAAAAGATGAGGAAATATTTGAACTTCATCCTTGCCAAGTTTGGCGAGCAAGCATGACAAACGGCCAACATAGGCTGTGGATCTCGCTATGTACTTGCAAGCCATGAACTATCAGCCCAAGAAGGGGTATGAGCGAACTTTTGCCTCTTGAGAAGATCTACATTTTGTGACAGGTCATGGATGTCATCGGCTTGAGTTGCTCAGCATATTGCTTTGGAGATTAGAATTCGGTTGAAGAGCGACTGCATCATAGATGCCACGTCGAAAGGAGGTGTGAAACTGTGTTTAGTGGAGCGCCGTGTAATCTATAGTAGTTATTTCTGCCTATCCTGGGATGTATTTATTTCTGCATTTGAGACGCTTTCAGCTAGATTGAAGCAGTTTGGTAGCTGCACTGATCTTTTCTGGACAATTTGCTGCAGAATGGTACGTTCAAAGTTGAATTCGATGTAACAAACAACTGTTTTGGTCGAAGCATCTGGATATGCTGTCTACAGAACAGTATGTATTTGTGTGTGTTTGGTTTTTGGTTTTGTTTGCGTTTTGTTTGCTTTTGTTTCTGTTTTGTTTTCTGTTTTTTATTCGGCTCGTGATGGCCCCATTGGACCATGTAGGGGTCCTCCTACGCAGAATTTCCAACTGCTTTAATTAATGGGCAACATGCAGCATGCAATAGCGTGTTGATCGACCTGGCGAAAGCTAAGAGGCGATGGACGGAAAAAAATACAGAACAGTATGTATTTGTGGAGATTGCTTTGTCGTATCGCTCGACGTTGCCGTCATTCGCGACTTACCTATCAGCCTCAGAGGGTTTCTGAGCTGGCAAGTGAAGACAGTCAGCACTTGGAAATGCTGCCAGTCGTTGTACATACCATCGTCAGAGGTTTTCTGAGTTGGATGAATTTGTTTGAAACCGTTTGGAAACGTTGGAGATTGTTTCGAAAGGTTTTGAACTATGATTTTTGCATGTGACAGTTTGAACTTGTGCAGTTGTTCGTCGATAGGTCGTTAGGTTTGGACCCAAAATTTGTTGGGTTTTCTCCCAAGTGATGTCTGAAGCCATCACTTGACAAAAAGGTCCGTTGAGACTTGTGTTGAGAATTGAGATGGCGACTGATGGGAGGAAAACCGACCTTTAAGGGAGTTAATGACCTATCTCGCTGGACTAATTAATTTGTAGGGTTTGTAGATCTAGGGATTTGTGTACCTGAAACCAAACAGTTTGGACGTCACTTATTTTGTGACTTTTGTCCAAGAAATTTTTGTCGGCATGTAGTAGGTTTTGATTTACCTCAGGAATTGTTTAGACCAGGAATCGAGTTTCCACTGCCGATTTCGCTCTCAAGGAGTGTGAGTCAAACAAGAGATAAGTCAGTACAGCTACATGAACTGACATCTTGCTCTGTTGTCGTCGCGTGCAAAAGGGGGCTTGAAGCGTGCAGTGTTGCAGGTGTTGGTTCTTGAGATCATACTTTGGGTTGAAGGCTCTCGCAAGGCTTCGAGGGGGGACTTCAAGGGGGCTTAAGATGGGGCTTAAGGGGGGGCTTAAGGGGAGGTTTCAAGGGAGGCTTAAGGGGGGCTTAACGGGGGGCTTCAAGGGAAGCTTAAGGGGAGGCTTAAGGGGGATTTCAAGGAGGGGCTTAAGGGCAGCTTAAGGGGGGGTACTATTATTATTATTACTACTAGTAATTGTATTAGTATTATTAGTAGTAGTAGTAGTAGTAGTTAGTAGTAGTAGTAGTTAGTAGTAGTAGTTAGTAGTAGTAGTAGTAGTAGTAGTAGTGGTAGTAGTAGTAGTAGGAGTAGTAGGAGTAGTAGGAGTAGTAGTAGTAGTAGTAGTAGTAGTAGCCCCTTAAGGATCCCCTTGCCCTTAGGCACCCCTAAGGTATCCTTGAATCTCCCCCTTAAGCCGCCCCTTAAGCCGCCCCTTAAGCCACCCCTTAAGCTACCCCTTAAGCACCCCCTACAAGCCACCCCTTGAAGCCACCCCTTGAAGCCCGCCCGCCCTTAAGCCCCCCCTTAAGCCCCGCCTTAAGCATCCCCTTAAGCACCGCCTTAAGGGCTTCCACCCTTCCAAGGGGCAGAAGGGCGGGCACCCTTCATGACCCCTTAAGCCTCCAAGCTTCCCCTTAAGCCCCCCTTTAAGCATCCCCTTAAGCCCCCCCTTCAAGCCCCCCTGTGACGAAGGAAGGGGGTGGGCCCGCCCTCCTGATCGAAGCTGTTGCGAACATTTTGGCGGTTGGAAGGCTGGTCGAAGCTGCCGCGGAGCATTTTAGGCATTTGAAACCTGGCGAACGGCAGGCTTGAACGCCCTAACTGAACGCTCTAACAACAACAAATGCCTGTGGCCAAAGTGTCTGGTCGAAGCTGCCGCGAAGCATTTTTGGTCGGTTGGAAGGCTGGTCGAAGCTGCCGCGGAGCATTTTAGGCATTTGGCACTTGGCGAACGGCAGGCTTCAACTCCGTAACAACAGACGGCTATGCAGGCAAACGCTTTATGTCAGCTTGCTGATATTTGTTTATAGTCTAATGGACAGCGATGAAAGAGCGTCTCTTCAAAAAAAAATGGTGAAACCAAACACTATCAATGAAAACACAAACAATACGTTTGTATACATCTCATGAAACTCTTTTGACCTCACTCACAATGCATGTTACATTATGTGGTCAAAAAAAATGAAATGAAATCAATGAATGTTTCCGTGCAACGTTTGTCTATCAAGCACATGAGGTGGGTGGGCGGGAAGCTCACAAAATTGTGGGTGTAGAACTTTTGTTTTAAATGAGCCACGCCATCTGCTGTGAAGGGTTGTGACGCCCTCCGATTTGCCATTTTGAGCCCTGGTCAAGTTTGGACCTCAAATTTTTGGTGTTGGAGCATCTTGTGTTTCGGCATCGGATTTACAGCTTGCTTTGCGTGGTTATTGCATGGATCCCTCATTTGACTCTGTCATTCGTCATTGCGATTTGTGGCAACCTGTTCAAGTTCACCGCGAAGAGGACTTCAACAGGTGGGACGATTGGTCGGCCTGCCAATCCCTTCCAACTATTTGTTGGCAACTGGGCAGTCTGGAACGTAATCTGGTGGTTTACACATTCCTTGATTTGCATTCAGTTTCAAATTTGCGCGCTGCTTGTTTTGTGTGGGCCGTTGAACTTTGTGACAATCAGAGAGAGTACAGATTAGTGTGCACTGCCCGACGCAGAAACTTGCAGGTTTCCGCATTTTTGGACACTTTGGTTGGTGACCCACCAGTTCAGAATTGATGACTGCACCAAGTTTTGACAGGCTGAAGCAGAATGGGGGTTCAGACAGGTCTACAGCCACAGTGAGCTCTTCATGCTATGAACAACATGTCAGACACATTTGGACTGCCAATCACGTTTCAAATTTCAAAATGCCTTGGGACTTATCCATGAAGACGCCATGGGAAGTATGTAAAAGACTCAGGACCAACAGACTTGACTTGCATGGACCGTTGCCACCCGTGCCAGTCATTGCGGTTGCTGACAACTCAGAAGGGTCTTTTACTGAGTCCTTATCTTTCAAACAAATGGGAGTCAAGGCCATCAAAAGCGCTGATGACCGCTTGTGGTCAGAAAAACTGTCATGGGAACGAAAGTGTGCTTACAAGAAATGGGTAGGCATTATCCTGAGGCAAGTTGGCGCTTTTGACATTGCCAGGCAACAGGTGACCTGCCATGCCATGGAGTTTGCCCGTGGCGGCTTGCTTGAATCGGTGAAGGATTCACTAGGCACGAAAGCCTCTTCGACCTTGCATGCAAGAGCTGGGCCAATTTTGCAATACATCCAATTTTGTGAAGATAGAGGAATACAAGCATTCCCTTTGGTTGAGCCGGTCGTCTATGACTATGTCAAATCGTGTGAGTCAAAAGCTGCAACATATGCCAGATCCTTTTTGTTGGCTCTGAGCTTTGCCAATTTCCATTTTGGTCTTACAGGGACAACGTCCATCATGGGGTCTGGACGCATTCGAGGCCTTGTCAACACCTTGTATGCCAAGAAACGGAAACTGATGCAAAGGCCTCCATTGACAGTGACTCAAATTGTGCATTTGGAGGGCCTGGTGCTTGACAACAACAAGACCGAGTTTGACAGGATTGCATGTGGATTTTTCCTCTTCATTCTGATGGGCAGATTGAGATTCAGTGATGGCCAACAGGTATGTCAACTGAGGCTTGACCAACAACCTGATGGCTTTGGCTTTGTGGAAGCCGTGGCAGCCAAGACAAAAACCTCAGTGAGCCTTGAACGGAAAACGAGGCATTTACCGGTAGCAGTTCCGTTGTTGCCTTTTGGGGACAGACCTTGGTTGCCTACCTGGTTGGAGCTCAGAAAGAGGGCTTTTGGGGACTTGGCCAACAGCAAGGACGAGTTCATCCCTTTGCTCCCTTCACCCTCTGCCAATGGAGCCTGGTCCAAAGTGCCTTTGAATGTTACGTCAGGTGCCAACTGGCTGCGCAGCCTTTTGCAAGGCACCATGGAACAGCAAGGGACACCGATAGGGACCCACAGCCTGAAGGCCAGCTTGTTGTCGATGTGTTCAAAGTTTGGGATGCCCCACTCTCAGCGCAAGTTGCTGGGGTATCATGCTGGCAGCAAGGAACAGAGCATGCTGTGCTATTCCAGAGATAGCATGGCTGAACCACTGCGCCGGTTGTGTGAAATGATACATGCAGTGAGGGACAAAGTTTTCCTCCCGGATTGCTCCAGATCTGGCCGTTTTCCTCAACGAGAACCTGGGTTTGAAGTTGAAGAAGGAGAGGAACTCAGCGATTCATCCTCTTCAGGTTCAGAAAATGAAGAGGAACTTCATCCCGAGGGAGAAGAAGCAGCTTGTGAGAAGGTGCTTGGAAAGTGGCATCCTGTCACCAATGAGATTGAGGAGGAAGCCGTTTTTGTCAGACACAGGATTTCACGGTGCATCCACATATTAGCTGACGAAACTGGCTTAGAGTTTTTGTGCGGCAGAAAGATGTCCCAGTCATATGATGTGTTGGAGCCCAAGCCTGCGTTTTGCCACCCAGCTTGCCAATTGTGCTTCAAAGACCGAGCCACCTGAGTTATGCGAGCGGCCAAAAAGTAAAATGTGCATGGAGGTGTTCCGTGCCGCAAACAATGATCAAAGTGAAAGACATGTGCAAGTTGCAGTGTCAATGGCCAACGTGTGAGCACCCAGCAATGCGTTGGGTCGACATGTCAAGTGCAATCTCAATGTTTGACAATCTATTTTTTTTGCACACGTGAATCATGCTCAAGCTCGGCATGAATGATGTGGCCAGGTGGGATGGTTTTCATGAGCTCCACAACATAACCATTTTGAAAATGATAAGAACCTCTTTGATAATCCATGCAACATAACATAACCCCCCATGAAACCAAGTAATACCACCCTTCTCCTTGGCACTGTCGAGAAAATTTCAATGTTGTTTTGAGTACGTTTGGATAGCAGTCCAACCTTGCACCGTCGTCGCCATGAGTTACGGTGACAGCAAAGCCGTTTTTAAACGGCGATGTGAGGAGATCGGGTTTGAAACAGAAGTGACTGAAATGATTGTCAACCATGGACTGGACACCATGGCAAAATTTGCGTTTGCTTGCAATTTTTCTCCTGGAAGTGCAGATGAATCACCATTGGTCCAACTGACAAAAGAAGTGTTGAAACGCCCGGCAACAACTGTGGAGATGTCTTGTGTTCGTAGACTTTTCAGCGAGAGTTATGCAAACATAGCTGCAGATATCAAAAATGCTGTGGAAGCAACGGACGACATGCCAACACGAAAGTTGGCCCCAGCTGAGCGTGCTGACCGTTTGAGACTCCAACAGCAACGCTTGTCAGGCATCAACATTTCAGGACCTTACGAGCCAGGTGATGCATTGGTAGATCGATGCATAGCAATTTATGATGCAGACAGGATTCAATTCATACCATGGGACATTTGCACCAGTCGTGAACATGAGATTTTGCATGGATCGAAACGTGACCAGACTTTGACATTCGATTCGACAGGTACCCTCAAGTTGCACAAACAAGCCCGCGTTGAGCCTTGCAGCACGGCCTCAGAGATTCAAGTCAGATATTGTTTGACCCGCAGGGCACTTGCGATGGAGCAGGCTAACATTGTCAGCTTCAAGAACATGGAGGCCTGGACTGAGAAGATGATGCAGGCCAGATTGGATGAACCTCCACCAACATATGTCAAAACCACCATGAAGCAACTGGAATCAGCAGATCGAAAGCTCTTCCTTCTCGTCAGTGAAAAAACCAGAGAAGGAATCAAATGCAATGCACAGGGGCGACCTGTTGACAATGTTTTCAAAGAATGCATGGAAAGCTCGGAGGTGTTATCATTGCTGCAACCCCGTCCAGGAGGGGGTGCCACAGGTACCAGATCGGCAGACTCCCCGCCCGAAGGCGAGCGTCCCAACAAGAAGTTCAAGGGAGGTGGAAAGGCACGTGGAAAGGGTTTTGGGAAGCCTCAAGCCAATCAAGATTCGTTTGTGCGCATCCCCAAAGAGCTGCTGGCACTTGGTTCAGTTGCTGCAACACCCAAAGGGCATAGGCTGTGTTTTTCATACAACTTGAAAGCGTGTGGCAATCCAGTGGACAAACAGCGTTGCTCCAAGGGTCTTCATGCATGTGCAGTCAAAGGGTGTCATGGACAGCATCCAGCGGTCGAATGCACCCGTGCCAAGAGAGATTGACTACAAGGAGACGAAAGAAAGGAGGATGCTGGGGCTAGTCATAGACCCCCTAATTCAAATTTTTGCCAAAATGACATGCCAGTAGCGGATCCTCTGCCTGATTCAAGGTGCGAGCAGGGCGACGTTTTTGCTGGCTTACTGGATTCACTGCAGGTCCCAAAGGGAAATCAGACTCCTGTTTTTGTGGAATTATGTGCAGGCAGCGCAAAACTTTCAGACGCTGTCAAACAATTTGGATACGACATCATTGCGGTTGACCATGACAAAAGCCGCCATACCCCTCGATGCAAACTGGTACAACTGGATTTGTCACACAAACATGCATGGGACATGTTGGACTTCCTTTTGGAAAGAGTTGTGATTGCTGGCGTTCACATAGCGCCACCATGCGGCACATGCTCCAGAGCTAGGGGCATTCCAATGGCAGACGGGTCCAAAGGGCCTCAACCGTTGAGGACAACTGAACATCCTTTGGGCATTCCATTCCTCAACCAAAGGGACAAGCAACGCGTTTTTCTGGCAAATGAAATTTACAAATTTTGTGGTGAATATGTCAAGAAGCTTGATGCAGCCGGAATTCCCTGGACAATCGAAAACCCCACGAATTCACTGATGTGGGATCTGGAATACTTTACATGGGCTGTTTCCAATGGATATTTTGTCAACATGCATGCTTGTGCGTATGGATCAACGCGGAAGAAACTGACTTCCTTTTTGTGCAGCCATCGTGAATTTCAAAAGCTCGAGCTCTACTGCAATGGGCAACATGAGCATCAAGCCTGGGGCCTTGAAACTGATGGGACATTTAGCACGGCTATGGAGGCCGAATACCCCAGGGCTTTGTGTCTTCGTTATGCTGAAGTTTTTCACCAATTGTGCATACAGCGGAACATTTGTCCATGCCCACAAGTTGTTTTGGAAATGCAAAAGCTTTCCCCGTCGCAACAGCCCAAAGGACGGAAGTTACCCCAGTTAATTTCTGAATATGCCTGTACAAAGACAATACAGGTTCAACATTTGCCGGCCATGGACCACAAAGGATGCCTAACAAAAACACTGAAAGACATCCCCATGGGAAGTAAGCTCCTGCGAACTGAAGCAAAAAAGGGGAATATCCTATGCGTTTTTGGGATTTACAGGTCTTTTCAAGCTTTTACACAAATTGCCAAACAGTTGTGGCATCCATATGACGAGCTGAAGAATCTACCTGAAGATTTGGTGCGTGTCCTGTTTCAACACCTCAGCCGGCCACCTGATGTTATCACCAGAGAACGCATTGCAACTTTGACAAGCTGGGCAAGTCGTGCAAAAGCATTGAACAACTTGGAAAAGCAGCTGAAAGCAGACATGGAGCCCGACATAGCAAGAATCATGGCGCCCAAGCGCATTCTGCTTATGAGATCCATTGCCACTGACATGAACTGGCCTGATCTCGGCATTTTTGACGAGATGACGGAGGGCTTCAAAATTGTTGGACCGGTCACAGAGTCAGGGATTTTCAAACAAGGAATCACCCTGGCCGAGATGTCACAACAACAGCTGCGAGACAAGACCAAATTTCTCAAGCCGATGATCATTGGTAGGGCGAAACTGTGTGATGGCAACGAGTTGCAACAACAACTTTACGATACAACGTTGGAAGAAGCAAAAGAAAAGAACTGGCTGGAAGGCCCCTTCTCGCCGGAGCAAATCGAGGGGCGCATGGGCAGCGACTGGTTGCCTGTAAGGCGCTTTGCAGTTCTTCAACGAGACAAACTTCGCCCAATTGACGATTTCAAAGAAAACCAGGTGAACAAAACGTTTGCAAGCTCAGAGAAGTTGGAATTGAGGACGATGGACCACACTTTGTGGTCTCTCTTCACGGTCCTTAAATTTTTGTTGTTTGATGGAAGGTTGGACTTCATTTTAAATTCTGGTGAGCACCTTCAGGCTGAAGTTCACCAAACCTGGAAGAATGTTGAGCCCAACTTCAAGGCATCATGCATAGACCTCAAGGCTGCGTACAAACAGCTTCCTCTACATGAAGACAACCAAAGGGATGCGGTTGTAACACTTTGGAATCCTACTGAAAAGAATGTTGAATGTTTCATCATGAAAGTTTTACCTTTTGGAGCTGCAGCCAGCGTACACCACTTCCTGCGTGTGAGCAATTTTCTTCAAGCGGTAGGAAGGTACATGGGATTGATATGGTCAGCTTTCTTCGACGATTTCGTGGTACTCAGCCATGTGATGCACGAATCCAGTACGATGGCTACTGCGCTCTCACTTTTTGATTTGCTGGGATTTCAACATAGCAAGGACAAGCTGCAACCTTTCAGCGACAAAACTGAGATGCTTGGAGTTGAGCTGGATTTGACAGATGTTAGGAAAGGAAACATCAGAGTGAGGAACAAAGCTTCAAGGGCCCTTGAACTGTGCGAAGTGCTGCAGAAAATTCTGGAGACAAAGAAGGTCGTCGTCAAAGAACTTCCCTGGACTATTGGGAAACTTCAATTTGCAGAAGGACAACTGTGGGGAAGGTCAGGGCGACTTGCACTGTCTGAGTTGCGCCGGCATGAAAAGTCTGGAGACAAGGAAACGCTTCTTGACGACAGGAGTGTTGATGCGGCACGTCTTCTTTTTGAGAAACTCAAAGGCGGAAAACCGAGAACCATTCAAATCAGCCCTAAGGCAAAACCGTTCCTGCTCTTTACTGATGGCGCACTGGAATATGATGCAAGCGGCAAACCCATCGCTGGCATAGGAGCCGTACTGATGTGTCCTGATGGTTCAAACTTGGTCTTTGGGACGAAGGTTCCGGAACGAATATTGCAATCATGGCAGGTTGATGGAAAAACCCACGTTGTGGGACTGGTCGAACTTTATGCAGCAGTAACGGCTTACAAAACCTGGGCAGACATTCTCAGACACCAACGTGTCATTTGCTTCACTGACAGCTGGCCAGTGTTAGACGTTTTGGTCAAAGGAAATTCTCCAATCGCAGAGTGGCGAGACTTGCTTTTGATATTTGAAAGTTTGGATGAAGATGTCAACGCCTTGTTGTGGCTCGCTCGAGTGACATCCAAATCTAATCCAGCTGACGCACCTAGCAGATTTACTTTGAGTGAGCTGAACTTTTTGGATGAGCTTAAAATTTCTGAAGCCACATGTCTCATCACAAACGAAACACTTCAATCATGTGTGACGTGAAGCTGAAGCGGAAAGGGGGATAGCCCAAGGTTTGGGTCAACTACAATGGTGGGGTGTCCACCAAAAGGAACATCGATGGATGTTCTCCAACAAATGAAGCTTGAACATAAAATCATGTTCAACTGAACTCCCCGTTCTGCTTCGAGACAAAAAGATGTGAGCCATCAAACGCGCAGACATGTAAACAAACGAAACTCAGTGATGTCAGTGATGTTAAAAAAAAAGTGTCATTTCGATTTGGCGATTTCTCGGCGGCGTACGTATGAAAGAATATTCCTTATATGAATATATGATGTATGGTTTGATGTTTGCATTATATATATGTTGATATGTTTATTATAAATGTTCCCCCTACTTTGAAGAGATCCATGTATGACTATAAGCTTTATGTCAGCTTGCTGATATTTGTTTATAGTCTAATGGACAGCGATGAAAGAGCGTCTCTTCAAAAAAAAAATGGTGAAACCAAACACTATCAATGAAAACACAAACAATACGTTTGTATACATCTCATGAAACTCTTTTGACCTCACTCACAATGCATGTTACATTATGTGGTCAAAAAAAATGAAATGAAATCAATGAATGTTTCCGTGCAACGTTTGTCTATCAAGCACATGAGGTGGGTGGGCGGGAAGCTCACAAAATTGTGGGTGTAGAACTTTTGTTTTACCTTCCCAACTTCGTTTTCCCACCCCGTCCTACTCCCCAATTTTGTGGGGGGGATAGCCCAAGGTTTGGGTCAACTACAATGGTGGGGTGTCCACCAAAAGGAACATCGATGGATGTTCTCCAACAAATGAAGCTTGAACATAAAATCATGTTCAACTGAACTCCCCGTTCTGCTTCGAGACAAAAAGATGTGAGCCATCAAACGCGCAGACATGTAAACAAACGAAACTCAGTGATGTCAGTGATGTTAAAAAAAAATGTGTCATTTCGATTTGGCGATTTCTCGGCGGCGTACGTATGAAAGAATATTCCTTATATGAATATATGATGTATGGTTTGATGTTTGCATTATATATATGTTGATATGTTTATTATAAATGTTCCCCCTACTTTGAAGAGATCCATGTATGACTATAAAGCAGGCTTGAACGCTCTAAAAACAAATGCCTGTGGCCATAGTGCCTGGTCGAAGCTGCCGCGAAGCATTTTGGCGGTTGGAAGGCTGGTCTAAGCTGCCGCGGAGCATTTGAGGCATTTGACGCCTGGCAAACGGCAGGCTTGAACGCCCGAACAACAGACGGCTATGCAGGCAAACGGCAGGCTTGAACGCTCTAACAACAAATGCCCCTGGCCAAAGCGTCTGGTCGAAGCTGCCGCGAAGCATTTTTGGTCGGTTGGAAGGCTGGTCGAAGCTGCCGCGGAGCATTTTAGGCATTTGACGCCTGGCAAACGGCAGGCTTGAACGCCCTAAAACAGATGGTTATGCAGGCAAACGGCAGGCTTCCACACTCTCACAACAAATGCCTGTGAAGTGCCTGGTCGAAGCTCCCGCGAAGTATGTTGGCGGTTGGAAGGCTGGTCGAAGCTGCCGCGGAGCATTTTAAGCATTTGAAGCACGGCGAACGGCAGGCTTGAACGCCCTCACATCAGATGGCTATGCAGGCAAACGGCAGGCTTGAACGCCCCAACAGCAAATGCCTTTGTAAAAAAATATGACATCAGTTGTTTGTTGAAATTGCAATCATGTACTGACAATGGATGGACAGGTAGATACGGTAGAATGCAACAGTTCTTTTTCCAATAACAACTTGACGACGGCACAGTTTGCCTGTAAACATTGGTGCACGGTGCAGAACAAGGGCGACAGATGCTGCAAACTCATGTGCAACAACGATGCGCAAACGCACGCCACAAATCAAACCCAATTTGGCAACGTTTTGCAGTTCATGTTGGTTTCAATGTCTGTTGCGACAATTCCGTGTGGGTTTTTGTCTTGTTGTCTTGTTAGGAACATGAACAAACGTTTGGGTTGGCATGCAAATTTCAACAAACGTTGCGTTGTTTTGGAAAATATTTTTCATTTTCATTGTTTTGCTGTTGTAGCATGCCAATCCGCAGCTGTTTCAGTTTGATAGCAAGAGTTTCACTGCTGTTGATCGACCTGTGCCGTCAAACATGGTGGAGCCGTCATTTGCGACGGCAGCTGACCGGGCCGCTCAGGACCCATTTAGTGCAACTGGCCAGTTTTGATGTTTGTGATTTGTGAAACCAAGGGAATTGGCAGGATGATGATGTGATTTAACATTTTTCGGGGTGGAATGCATAGTGCCAAAGCAAAGGAAACTGACACGAATTGGCAACAAACAACGGAAACCAACAAGAACGATAAACATCATGTGGGACCGGAGACAGTACACACTGCTAAACATGTTTCGAAACAGTTTGTTCCACGCTCATTTTTGGCCAGATCCTTTTCCAGCACCAGAAAATTGCAACATGGTGCGGACCCCAGAAATTCCACCAATGTTTTTGAAACATGTTGCAAAAAACACACAATTTTTTGAGATGACAGCACCATATCTTCAGCGAGGCGCAGATCATTTTCTTGACCGGCATGTGGCCTGGCTGCAAATCATGACAGTTTTGTCCAAGTTTCTCCAGCTGAAACTCAGGTATGGCTACGTGCTGTTTCAGGTTGGAGAGAAATCTATTATATACCGATGTGGCCTCTGCACGTTGTTATTGTTTGCATTTTTGTATTTTCCCAGACTTTTGTGCAGCTGTAGGCATCAAATCTCATCAGCGACGGTAGCGAACTTTTACTGCTACTTGGCTCAATTTGGTTTGGTGCCTTTTCGGTTTATCAAATTATTTGTTCTACAAAACATGTGTCACATGTATCATTTGTTAACAAAATGACATCTTAGGTTGGTGCCAGCGGCAGCACCAGTGGTTGGGAGGTGGGGAAAAAATGTTTCAGCTCTCTACTTGCCGGTGGTTGCTTTCGACAATTTTTTCTTAAACAGAAACCAAACGGCAAACATGTGCAAAAAAAATGGCACAACCACCAAATGAAAAAAAACAGTGGTTTTGAAACATTTGTGACATGTCATCCAAAGCGTTGCGCTCAGTGTCGTGCTGCCAATTCTTGGAGCAGTTCCTGATGGGATGTCGGCATCCTGAGTTGCTTCTGTTGGTCAGTGTTGTCAAAAAAACCAACTTGAACCAACATGGCCAAAATTTGTTTCCGCCCTGAGGATGGTGCTGTTCTCTGGCCTCGGCCCTGATGCACAGAACCAGGTCATTGTTTGTGCTTTGTTTTTTTGCATCACCGTTTTCAAATTTTATGGTTCGTAATTGTGCAATTGCGCTTCAAGAGACCGCTTCCAGAAAAAGAGAGGTCAGTGTTGGCGTGGGTGCCCTTGCTGGAAGTACAGTGATGCTACTCACACTGCCATGGTGTGGGCCCAGGAAATCTTACAGGCTGCAAAGAAACCGAAGGAAAAACAATATGTCACGACAGTGCAGAAAATTTGTTGCACTTTTTCGGACGGCATGGAAATGTTTTGCCTTTTTGGGCTCTTAGGTTCTTGGCTATCCTCGCTGGAAGGGCCGCAACCTGAGGTTTTTTTGACAAGAGATTCCTGGAAGTGTCGTCATCGGAATCATATATGCAGTGTACATGAAACACCATCCCACTTGTTTGAGTGACGATAAACTGATGGTTTTTTTTCCACTCGCGGAATCGCCATGCCAAGGTCTCTTTGAAAGATGGAAAACCAACCTACCACCGACCTGCCGGTGCTGACCCCACGGTGCAACTAGCAAATTTGAGCAGTGTCCCTATATATTACTTTATGGAGGCCATCTGATCACAAGCCATCGCATTTTGCTGCCTGGTTTCATAGCGATCCCAGCAATCATCCAGAAGTTGCTGAAGGGGCTCGCAGAAGCATGTCCTTCGGTTTCATGCCAGACTTGGGACAAGCTGGACCCTCCTGGCAATCTGTCGTTGATCCGTTGTGGCCTTGGGATTTCTGAATCCTGAAGATGCCTCAGAACTATCAAACCTGTGACTACCAAGATACGGGGATTGGCTATGGCCCAGAGATTGTGCAAAATGTCCAGAACTCAAACCCCAAGGAGTTTGATCGGCACTGCTGAAACTGAGACTCTGCACATGTTGTGCGAACCTGAGGCTTGGACCATGTTGTACACCATGCTGGGGTGCCCCCAGCTCCTATCTTGGCCATGAGTTAGTCCAACAAGCCGTAACAAGCCCCTCTTGCCTCGGCCCTGATTTGAACGATGCCTGATAGGTACGTCATCATCCAAGGCTCTGCCTTTGTAGTGGACAAGATGCCGAAACCCGTGGACCGAAGTTGGGAAGTTGGGAAATGTACGGACTCGAATCTAGAAGCGCATCAGTATCAGTGTATCCTGAGCTGAGGGTTCCATGGCCAGCTGTCACAGTTCCAACTTTTGACACTTTTGAAGGACCTCAGCGCAGTACAAGAGCATCATATCCTAAAGCACGAGGCATGCAAATGCATCGTTGATGATGCTGTCGTGTTCCCCTTAGTGCAACTCCCCTTGAGGCTCGGTACGAGAATTCCTTTGCCCTGGGTGGTCTCTTCGTTTGTATTGGCTTCTTCATGCGGCCTGGCAGAAAAGTTCACCTCATTTCGCAAGTTGGAATTGCTGTGGGGAACTGCCTCAGAGGTAATGTATGGTAACGCACCATCTTATTCCATGCCATTGTATGCCAAGTAGCTCAGGTGGTATCTCTGGAAGATGTGGTGCTGCCAGCAGGTTTTGAGAGGCCTTTGCCCTGCTCTCATCAGATTCGCATGGCAGGAAAGAGTCTCAAGGAAGTGGAGCAGTTAGTGACGCCATCGCGGAGAGCACAATCCAGGCGCAAAGAGGGCATCCTGAGGGACAAAGACGGATTCAGAAACTACGCCGGATTCAGAAACTAGGGATTCAGAAACTGCTCGTCGGATTCAGAAAATAAACGTGGTATTCAGAAACTATTTCGTGGGATTCAGAAACTATTTCGTCGGATTCAGAAACTACTCGTGATATTCAGAAACTATTTCGTGGTATTCAAACTATTTCGTGGTATTCAGAAACTATTCGTAGTATTCAGAAACTATTTCGTAGTATTCAGAAACTATTTCGTGGTATTCAGAAACTACTCGTGGTATTCAGAAACTATTCGTAGTATTCAGAAACTATTGTCGTCGGATTCAGAAACTGCTCGTGGTATTCAGAAACTATTTTCGTAGTATTCAGAAACTATTTCGTCGGATTCAGAAACTACTCGTGGTATTCAGAAACTATTTTTGCAGTATTCAGAAACTATTTTCGTCGGATTCAATGCTGACTCTATGGTTTCTCCCAGCAATGATTATGGTATCCCAGCAACTATTCAAAACCGCCACCCCCTCTGGCCAATACGATGCATAGGATCTTAACTTGAACTTATCTTCATGAGGGATCAAAACTGCCACCCCCTCTGGCCAATACATTGAATAGGATCTTAACGAAACTTAGCGAATAGGATCTTAACTTGAACCTATCTTCATGAGGGATCAAAACTGCCACCCTCTCTGGCCCATACATTGAATAGGATCTTAACTTCAACTTTTCCCCAGGAGAGATCAAAACTGACACCTCCTCTGGCCAATACGATAAATAGGATCTTAACTTTTGTTGCTTATCTTCATGAGGGACAAAGCCGCCATCCCCTCTGGCCAATACATTGAATTGGATCTTAACCTCAACTTTTCTCCAGGAGGGATCAAAACTGCCACCCCCTCTGGCCCATACATTGAATAGGATCTTAACTTCAACTTTTCTCCAGGAGGGATCAAAACTGCCACCCCCTCTGGCCAATACATTGAATAGGATCTTACCTTGAAATTATCTTCATGATGAATCAAAACTGCCACCCCCTCTGGCCAATACGGTGCATAGGATCTTAACTTGAACTTATCTTCATGAGGCATCAAAACTGCCACCCCCCTCTGGCCAATACATTGAATAGGATCTTAACGAAACTTAGTGAATAGGATCTTACCTTGAACCTATCTTCATGAGGGATCAAAACTGCCACCTCCTCTGGCCAATACGATAAATAGGATCTTAACTTGAACTTATCTTCATGAGGGACAAAACCGCCATCCCCTCTGGCCAATACATTGAATAGGATCTTACCTTGAAATTATCTTCATGAGGGATCAAAACTGGCCAATACGGTGCATAGGATCTTAACATATCTTAACTTGAAATTATCTTCATGAGGGATCAAAACTGCCACCCCCTCAGGCCAATACATTGAATAGGATCTTACCTTGAACTTATCTTCATGATGAATCAAAACTGCCACCCCCTCTGGCCAATACGGTGCATAGGATCTTAACTTGAACTTATCTTCATGAGGGATCAAAACTGCCACCCCCTCTGGCCCATACATTGAATAGGATCTTAACTTCAACTTTTCTCCAGGAGGGATCAAAACTGCCACCTCCTCTGGCCAATACATTGAATAGGATCTTACCTTGAAATTATCTTCATTATGAATCAAAACTGCCACCCCCTCTGGCCAATACGGTGCATAGGATCTTAACTTGAACTTATCTTCATGAGGCATCAAAACTGCCACCCCCCTCTGCCAATACATTGAATAGGATCTTAACGAAACTTAGTGAATAGGATCTTACCTTGAACCTATCTTCATGAGGGATCAAAACCGCCATCCCCTCTGGCCAATACGATGAATAGGGTCTTGACTTGAACTTAACTTCATGAGGGATCAAAACTGCCACCTCCTCTGGCCTATATAATGCGTTAGGGGTATCTCTGGGCTCGTTGCTACGTTACTTGTTACTATGCTGCTGATGGGGTAGGGTGGGGTAGGGGGGGCATGTCAACGTTCCTTGAACTTCGTACGTTATAGTGTGCGCTGCTGATGGGGTAGGGTGGGGTAGGGGGGGCATGTCAACGTTCCTTGAACTTCGTACGTTATAGTGTGCTACGCTGCAACGATCTGTGGGATCTAAAACTACGTTACATGTTACTACGCTGCTGGGATCTCTGGGACCTTGCTACGTTACTTGTTACTACGCTGCTGAGATCTCTGGGATCGTTGCTACGTTACTTGTTACTACGGGTTTCCAGTTTCCAATTATATCAGTTTCCAAATACCAATCTCAGTTTCCGAATACCTTTTTCCAGTTTCCGAATACGACTCCCAGTTTCCGAATACCACTTTCCAGTTTCCGAATACCACTTCCAGTTTCCGAATACCAGTTTCCGAATGCCATTTCCCAGTTTCCGAATACCACTGTCCAGTTTCCGAATACCACTGTCCAGTTTCCGAATACCACTGTCCAGTTTCCGAATACCACTTCCAGTTTCCGAATACCAGTTTCCGAATACCACCTCCAGTTTCCGAATACCACTCGCCAGTTTCCGAATACCACCGTGACCCATCCTGAGACTTTGGGTCCCAAGCATGCCTCACTAGGTTCGAAGGATTTGACGGTGAACAGCTTTGCCAGCAAGCAGTGGTAAACCTCTTGTTTTCGTGAAGAACAAAGGATCCTTCCACTTGTCACTTGTGTAGGGGTTCCTTTAGTCGAGATTATATAGATATGCACAGTTTTTCTGTTTTGGTTCAGAGCTCCATGCCTCGCCGTACCTGCTTTCCCTATGTCCGTGATATGAGGCCATGCGAGAAGGCCAGGACGTTGAGTTACAGCCAAGGCGTTTTTTCTTGAGACTCCGATTTATGGCCATTCAAATGGGAAAACATGATGAACGTGATGAACATGATGAAAATACATAGATCAACAGATGAGCAATTTTTTTTGTGGGTCTCCATTTCTAAGACAAATCTGGCGCCAGGAACCCTCACCCTGAGAGGGGCTATGGCCTCCTTTCGCGATGCGCAGTGGAGTAGCATGTGCAAGAAAGGAGACCTCAATGAGGCAACAAGTCGGCATATTTTGACAAACGGATGCAAATATGAGATATGATATGAGTAGAGCCCAGAAAGCACTTTTGGCTGAAAGTTATTTGGGTTTATTTACCAGGATTACTTATACTTTATATAAATATTGATTTTGTTATAAGATTACCCACTAATGCTATTGATATCGATACGCTGAGCCAGAAAATGCAAAGGCACTTTCACAAGGTCGCACTCCTCATGGCCAGGTCCTCCTCAGCAAGGAATCCATGGATGAAGTGCGGCGAATGTGCAAGGCCAGTTTCACTGGGTCATACATGGTGAAAACAACAAAAATGAAGCTCATGGTGGTAAGTGGCAACTCATGAAATGAGCTAACGATTCGTGACAGCAGGTGCTAGCGCCCTTCTTTGCCCACTACGATTTAAATGGTTGCAATCCCAGAGCAGCTTCTTTCCGGTGTTTTGTGGGGAAATCCACTAACATGAGGTGACAATGCAATAGACTTTGAAGAGTTCAGGATGATCTTCAAGGCCTGTGTTTTTGTCTCACATCCAAAAGTGTTGGTGTGAGTTTGGTGGCAATCTTGGATAAACACTGGATGCAATGTGGTAAATTTGGTGTATATTTTAAATACCTTCTCAATGGCAAGTCATTGGGTAAATGGGGTAAGGTTCTGATTGATTGGTTCATGGCATTAGTTTTACCACGTCACTTTCGCTATGTCGCCTTTTGGCCATCCACAGGATGTTGGTGAAAACCTGTCGCGAGACGCACAGAACGCGATGTTCAAAGCTGCTGACACGGTGCGAGCTGGGACGAGTTGTGACGACTCGGGGGTGTCCTGGTGTGATCGGTGTCTTGCAAGCTGCTGAAAATGGCATCCCAAAAGGCAAGCAGAAACCAAGAACAACTGAAAACAACTGAAAACAACTGAAAACAACAACAAGGACAAGGACAACGACACAACCAAAACCAGAATCAATTTGTGTTTTCATTCGAGTGCTGCCATCGCCAGAACCGAAGTGGCGACATCAGCTTCGAGGAGCTTGGCAATGGGCTTGGGCCTACAGACAACCTCTGGAAGACTGGATGCGTTCAGTTATTGAACGCAAAGGTCAGCACATGCATTGCATTTTTCTGTGCGTTTGGGAGCATTTGACTCATACCACCACAGAGCTTGAGGATAGAGGCTTCCCGGCTTCCCGTTTGCAGCCACTCTAGCTCGATCCGGATCATTGACTCATCAGCCAGAGAAGATGTGGACATATTTCAGCCTTTCAAGAAGCCTTTCAAGTCAGCAATTTGCAAATCTTACCACCCAAAAAAATAGTTGAGCTGGTTCCTTCCTGCCATGTCCGTGATAGCTCCCCGGCTGCAGTGATTCAGAGGAAAGGTCACATATTCCGTTTGCACAGCCCTGAGGTCAGTGGTGGATACCATGGTCCTCCTCAAGAGGCGCCCAGTTTGGCTTGAAACGAACATAGTGCCGTGACACCGTTGTGGCAGGGGCCAGAAAGTCCTGGTTCCCTGGAATGGCTCTTGAGCGAAACCAAGGCTGGGCTGGTTGATGGCCGTTGAGCCAAGCTGGTATCAGCCACCTGGATCCACCTGGCAGGTGGGATGGAATGAACCTGAAGCTGGTGATGTGCCAGAGAAGGTCAAGAAAGAGGACTTGCAGCAGTGGTTGATTTGTTGAACCGGTCAAGATTTTTGCCAGGATGGAATCTTGGCTGTTTCCTTTAAAGGACTTGGATCTTCTGGTGCAAAAATGCATGGTTCCGTTCTTAGAGGAGTTTGAGCAAGTCACCAATTTGAAGCGGCTTCAACGGGCTTTGCTCACGTGACTTGTCGCACGTTTCTGCGCAAGAAATTCATTTACTCTGGCGTTTGCTTTTGCAGCTTCTTCAGAGTCATTGCATGAATCATTGCAACGGAAGAAAGAACAACTGAAATCTTCAGGTACCAGAATGACAGCAAATTTGGATGAGCATTGGCTCATGCTGTTCGGCTGAGCTGCCGCACTCGGAGGTCCAGCGATTGTCCGAACGAGTACATCTCCGAAGGAGAGTTGTGACAGACTGAGATGGCGCTTAGCCGGACAGCGAAACTCAGTGCAGTGGGCTTCGCACGCCTTGATCCAGTGATGCTGAAAGTCTTGAGGAAGTAATTCACAACGGAGGATCTCCTGAGCCTCAGGACACTGTTAGAACGGATTCTGAACTCAGGGTTTTTGTAATTGCCCGAGACTTGCTGCTGGAAATGTAGTGTACTATCAAGGTGCAATGTAGTGATAATAAGTTTTTTTCCCCCTCCCATTGACTTGCTCATGATGTTTGCAGTCTGCCTTTAAGAGATTATCTTTCTGGCAGGAGTCTTGTACTGCAGTGTCGAGGGGCTGCTGGGCTTTGTACGATGCCTCAGTAAATGCTAGGATGGAGACACGGACTCCAAACAGTTCTAACAGATGCTGGGAGTTCGGGAAACAGTTTAATTTCAAACATTTTCAAACTGTTTGGTCAGTAGCCTTTGTGGATCCGTGGAAATACTGGTGGCTCAGATCCTAGGCCTTTGTTCACCTGTGCTGTGGGGATCCAGTCTGTTTCCCAGCCGCGCAGACCTCGGTCATGAGCTTTGCAGCCAAAACTTCGGACTCCGTCAAGATTGGGTCCTTTTTTGGTGAATCTAGCAGTTTGGGTATATATTGGGATATATTGGGTTAGCCCCCCTCCCAGTAACATCAGTAACAGTTCAAAAATTGTTTTATATATATTCAAAAACCTACTGTATTCAAAAAGAAACACCAGACATGAAACCGCAAAATGGTCTGCATAAACGGCTGCTGTGGTCAATTTTTTTCTTTTTGACCAATCTTGTGCCAACTTCTTCACTAATTCACCCTGTGCCACACCACCCCTCCACTCCACATTAACTCTCATCGTCCACACATACATCCACCTCCAGCCCTGTTCTCTTGGCACCAGCCACGAGCACAATTTTGAAGAAAAAATGCTAGACAGATGAGCACAATTTTTGCACCTGCTTGACCACAGTTTTGCACAAAAAAAGTAGTGTATCTTCTTATAGTTTTGCCACAGCAACACCTTTAAACTACCTTCTTTGTTCCTTTGTGTATGTGTGTAAGGCAGCTCAAAAATATAGAGGAAACTTGTCAGTACCTTCAGTCTTGGGCACGTTCATTTGGAGTAAAAACATTTTTTGTGCCATATTTTTGGGTGCTATTTTGGTGTCCTCTACTGGTGCCCACTGTCAGTGCAAAAAGGGATATCCTAAGGTATATGCAACATTGACCCCTCCCCAACTGAGGATTCGGATTTGCTTATCTGAGAGCATCCAGCATTGCTTCCCGGTTGCAGCTAGCTCTGCTTTCTCTGTTAGTACCTCATCTCAACCTCCTGCGAGGTGGAGCCGAGGCACTGGCCATGGTGAGAGTTGGATCCAAACTGAAGAAAACAGTTGGCGCCAGCTTTGAGAACTTCGATTCCTTCAAGTTTTGATCCGATTTGATCCATTCAATTTCTGCTTTCACAGGGATTTTCACACGCTTTCAGCGTCCATCTGAATCTGATCATCCTTGGAAGGCCGAAGATGCCCGGCGAGATGAGTCCGGCAGGTCGGGAGCTGAGCGGGGCTTCACTGCTTCATGCCATGTCGACATGGCGCCTCTGAGGTGATCTGGAGATCGTGGTGCAATGATCACCAGCGAAAAAAAACAAGCTGCATCAAGCTGCTATAACTGCTATAATTGCGATCATTCATCTATCCAAGAACCTGGCTTCAGATTTGATTGTGGCTTTGCATTATGAAACTTGGCCGAACTCTCTTTTGTTGTATCGAATTGCTACCTGTTGTGAAGGAGTTCGTCGCTTGCCTGATGTCCTTTGCATTGGACCCCAACACCAACCTCCAGGAGGGGCGCTCTGGATGATCTGAGGCGATGAGTTGTCACTGCACCGCTGTGCAGGAGACCAAGAAGCCGAAGTATGCCACCAACCCCAACAACTACTTGAAGAATGAAGAGGTGTAACTCGTGGATAGAACTGCTTGCAACTTTAGCCCTCGAAGCAGAAGCCCAGTTGCCAGCTGGACCTGTGATCAATCTGGCTACTCTCCCCTTGCAGCAGAAATGGTCTCCAGGGTGAAGAAGAGGAGGAAGAGGAAGACGTCCCTGAGGAGTCGATAAGACGCAAGGGACTTGGTCCAGAGCCATGACTTGGCCATGACTTGCTGTGAGGACTTGGCAGATTTGGAGCCAGAAGAACAGCAGAAAAGGATCAAGTCGCTGCCTGAGAAAAGATCATAGAGAAATTCATCTAAAAGACTTGGCGACTCTAGAAGATGACAGATGCCTACAAATAACTGAGTGTCTTGCACGTGTCATGTCAGCTGTCAGGATTCGAGCTGCCTATAAGATGGCCCTTGGCACTCTTCTTGTTTGGTGCCAAGCAGCCCCTTTTAAAATGTCGCTCTTTGCGCACCATGCCACAGTGTCACAATATGTCACAATGGTTCCAATGCCATTGCGAGGTCCTGATCTTTTCAGATCCCATGGTGGACCTGCTGTCGGAACTAGGTGCGGCTTCAGTTGGGATTCTCCACCTGGTGGACCTGCTGTCTTCGAACAAAGCTCTGCGCTAAGGGGTGCGGCTTGACGTGTCTGCATTTTATATTTCCTTCGTGCTGCTGGCTTGACCTTGGCACAAAAGCAAGGGAGAGCGCTGCGTGACAATTCCTTTGTGTTCCCCCAAGGTATACATCCAACTCCACATCCCCTAAGGAATAACAGCGCAACCAACCATATCATGGAACGACAGCTGCAGCTGCCATAGGTGTGCCATCATTGAAATCTACAAGCTTTTTCCACCGTTTGGGTATAGGCTAGGTCAAAATCGAGTAAACCCTCAGGCAGTGGTGGCTTTCAAGATTACAAGGAAGTCCGTTTTTTTGATTGCCAACATATATATATATATATTCAGATGTACTTCAGTCAAACGTTCATGTTTTGTTTCTGAAGATGTCCCATGTTCACTTGGACATTTGAAAGGCAGTGAACACTTTTTATCGCCATACGATAATACGTATATACTGTACTTACATTTATATATATATATTTTTGGGCTGACGCCCCTCGTCGGCTCCGCCGGACCACTCGGCCCTCCATTTCATCGCAGTGAGGGCGTGAAAGTTACTGAATGAGGACCTGCTTCAGAAATAAGTATATTCCTTAGGTTTTTTGGAACATATTTGTTGGAATAGACGTTTTTTGGGGAGCAAGTGAGTTCCCGAAAGCTCCTGCGAAGGGTTTTTCCTAAAGAACTGCTGCCGATTTCAACTTGTTACTTCGTGTAAAGGCGCCTCTGTGCAAAGACTTCTCTGTGTAAAAGTTTTTGTGTGTAAAAGTAAGATTCTCTGTGTAAAGACTTCTTTGTGTGAAAGCTTCTTTGTGTGAAAGCCCGTCTGTGTAAAGATTTCTCTGTGTGTAAAAGCTTCCGTGTGTAAACACTCTCTGTGTAAAGGCTTCTCTGTGTAAAAGTTTCTGTGTGTAAACGCGTCTGTGTGTTAAAGCTCTCTGTGTAAAGACTCCTTTGTGTAACAGCTTTTGTGTGTAAAAGCTCCAAGACGTTTGTGTGAAAAAGCTCCGCAGAGGAAAGACTTCTCTGTGGAAAACCTTCTGTGTGTAAAAAGCTACTCTGTGTAAAGGCTTCTCTGTGTAAAAGCCCCTGCGTGTGTAAAAGCTTGCTGTGTGTAAACGCTTTGGTGTGTAAACGCTCCTCTGTGTAAAGGCTTCTCTGTGTAAAAGCTTCTGTGTGCAAACGCGTCTGTGTGTAAAAAGTCCTCTGTGTAAAGACTTCTTCGTGTAAAAACTTCTGTGAGTAAAAGCTCCTAGACGTTGGTCTGCAAAAGCACCTTAGAGTAAAGACTTCTCTGTGTAAAACCTTCTGTATGTAAAAAGCTCCTTTGTAAAGACTTCTCTGTGTAAAAGCCCCTGTGTGTGTGGGTAAAAGCTTCTGTGCGTCTCCTCCCTCCAGCTTTCTTTCGGGTCACGCTGTCGTCCAGTTTCAATCTGCAACGTTGTTTCTTGTGGAAGAGTGCAAAATAATGCAAAGAACATGTGAAAGCATCGCGGTTTAAAAATTGAACATAAACAGCGCACAAAGTGCTGTAATTTACAGCATATTGCGCTGTCAGCTGGCAAGAACCCGCGTAAATACCACAGTTTTAGTCCCCCAAAGTGGCTAAAACACTGTTATTTACAGGGTTTCGTTCACGTCACGATCTTCGATTTTTTGGGAAACGCGTAAATACCAGCGTTTTTTGCGTTCATCAAGGCAAAAAATCGGTTCAAAAAGTGCAAAAAATGCTGTAATTTACAGGGGTTTGGCGCCGTCACGGGCAAAAAACTGTGTAAATACCAGCGTTTCAGCGTCCAAAAGTGGCTAAAACACTGCTATTTACAGTGTTTCGTGCCTTCCACGTTTTCTTGAAATTGCAAAAACAGTGTAAATACCAGCATTTTTTGCGATAAACTTGCCAAAAATGCTGTAATTTACAGTGTTTTTTGGCTTGGCTTTCAAAAACACTGGTATTTGCAGTGTTTTGTGCATCTCGGGTCAAAAAAGTATTGGTATTTACAGCATTTTCTGCGTTTTTGCATTGCTCCCGCAAAAGACGTTAAAACGCAAAAATGCTGTAATTTACAGCATTGTGCCCATTTCGAAAAGCTGAAAATCGTCCGAAAAATGTGTCAAAACGACACTTTTTTTCGATTTTAGGTACCCTCAAAACGGGGGGGGGGCGGGATTTTGCTCTTGGAGACGCTTATGAGCGACCCGGATTCCGGCCAAAAAGCTTTCCCCCACCCTCCTGAAGGATTTTTGGTGTTTTTCGGGGCCCGGCGTCGGAGGGTCGGCGGCTTGGGGCGCGCCTCACCTTAGAGCTCTAGTCGCTCTGGGACGCTCGTGGGGCAAGCCACTCGTATGGAGCCGGCGGAGCCGAATTTAAGGGCTGACGCCCCCCGTCGGCTCCGCCGGATTTCTCGACCCTCCATTTCATCGCAGTGTGGGCTTGAAAGCTTTTGGACGGGGACCTGCTTCAGAAATATATTCCTTATGTTTTTTGAAAATTGAAAAAAGGTCATGGAATAGGAACTTTGTTGGAAATAGACGGCTTTTTTGGGGAGCAAGTGAGTTCCCGAAAGCTCCTGCCAAGGGTTTTTCCCGAAGAACTGCTGCCAATTTCAACTTGTTACTTCGTGTAAAGGCGCCTCTGTGCAAAGACTTCTCTGTGTAAAAGCTTTTGTGTGTAAAAGGTTCTGTGTGTAAAAACCACTTTGTGTAAAGACTTCTTTGTGTAAAAGCTTCTGTGTGTGAAAGCTTCTCTGTGTGAAACGTCTGTGTAAAGATTTCACTGTGTGTAAAAGCTTCCGTGTGTAACAACTCTCTGTGTAAAGTGTAAAGGCTTCTCCGTGTAAAAGCTTCTGCGTGTAAACGCGTCTGTGTGTGAAAGCTATATATCTCTGTAAAGACTTCTTTGTGTAACAGCTTCTGTGTGTAAAGGCTCCTAGATGTTTGTGTGCAAAAGCTCCTTAGAGTAAAGACTTCTCTGTGTAAAACCTTCTGTGTGTAAAAAGCTCCTTTGTGTAAAGACTTCTCTGTGTAAAAGCCCCTGTGTGTGTAAAAGCTTGCTGTGTGTAAACGCTTTTGTGTGTAAAAGCTCCTCTGTGTGAAGGCTTCTCTGTGTAAAAGCTTCTGTGTGCAAACGCGTCTGTGTGTAAAAACTCTCTCTGTCAGGCCTTCTTCGTGTAAAAAGTTCTGTGTGAAAAAGCTCCTAGGCGTTTGTGTGCAAAAGCTCCTTGGAGCAAAGACTTCTCTGTGTAAAACCTTCTGTGTGTAAAAAGCTCCTTTGTGTAAAGACTTCTCTGGTAAAAGCCCCTGTGTGTGTAAAAGCTTGCTGTGTGTAAATGCTTTTGTGTGTAAAAGCTCCTTTGTGTGAAGGCTTCTCTGTGTAAAAGCTTCTGTGTGCAAACGCGTCTGTGTGTAAAGAGCCCTCTGTGTAGAGACTTCTTTGTGTAACAGCTTCTGTGTGTAAAGGCTCCTAGACGTTTGTGTGCAAAAGCTCCTTAGAGTAAAGACTTCTCTGTGTAAAACCTTCTGTGTGTAAAAAGCTTCTTTGTGTAAAGACTTCTCTGTGTAATAGCCCCTGTGTGTGTAAAAGCTTGCTGTGTGCAAATGCTTTTGTGTGTAAAAGCTCCTCTGTGTAAAGGCTTCTCTGTGTAAAAGCTTCTATGTGCAAACGCGTCTGTGTGTAAAAACTCTCTCTGTCAGTCCTTCTTCGTGTAAAAAGTTCTGTGTGAAAAAGCTCCTAGACGTTTGTATGCGAAAGCTCCTTGGAGTAAAGACTTCTCTGTGTAAAACCTTCTGTGTGTAAAAACCTCCTTTGTGTAAGGACTTCTCTGTGTAAAAGCCCCTGTGTGTGTAAAAGCTTGCTGTGTGTAAATGCTTTTGTGTGTAAAAGCTCCTTTGTGTGAAGGCTTCTCTGTGTAAAAGCTTCTGTGTGCAAACGCGTCTGTGTGTAAAAAGCCTTCTGTGTAAAGACTTCTTTGTGTAACAGCTTCTGTGTGTAAAGGCTCCTAGACGTTTGTGTGCAAAAGCTCCTTAGAGTAAAGCCTTCTCTGTGTAGAACCTTCTGTGTGTAAAAAGCTCCTTTGTGTAAAGACTTCTCTGTGTAAAAGCCCCTGTGTGTGTAAATGCTGTTGTGTGTAAAAGCTTCTCTGTGTGAAGGCTTCTCTGTGTAAAAGCTTCTGTGTGCAAACGCGTCTGTGTGTAAAAAGCCCTCTGTGTAAAGACTTCTTTGTGTAACAGCTTCTGTGTGTAAAGGCTCCTAGACGTTTGTGTGCAAAAGCTCCTTAGAGTAAAGACTTCTCTGTGTAAAACCTTCTGTATGTAAAAAGCTCCTTTGTGTAAAGACTTCTCTGTGTAAAAGCCCCTGTATGCGCAAAAGCTTCTGTGCGACTCCTCCATCCAGCTTTCTTTCGGGTCACACTGTCGTCCAGTTTCAATCTGCAACATTGTTTCTTGTGGAAGATGCAAAGAACAGGTGAAAGCATCGCAGGTTAAAAAATTGAACATAAACAGCGCACAAAGTGCTGCAATTTACAGCATTTTGCGCTCTCAGATGGCAAGAACCCGCGTAAATACCACAGTTTTAGTCCCCGAAAGTGGCTAAAACACTGTTATTTACAATGTTTCGTTCACGTCACGACCTGCGATTTTTTGAAAAACGCGTAAATACCAGCGTTTTTTGCGTTCAGCAACGCAAAAAATCGGTTCAAAAAGGGAAGAAAATGCTGTAATTTACAGGGGTTTGGCGCCGCCACGGGCAAAAAACTGCGTAAATACCAGCGTTTCGGCGTCCAAAAGTGGCCAAAACACCGCTATTTACAGTGTTTCGTGCCTTCCACGTTTTCTTGAAATTGCAAAAGCACTGTAAATACCAGCATTTTTTGCGATCAACTCGCCAAAAATGCTGTAATTTACAATGTTTTTTTGTTGCGCTTTCAAAAACACTGGTATTTGCAGTGTTTTGTGCATCTCGGGTCCAAAAAGTATTGGTATTTACAGCATTTTCTGCGTTTCTGC